TTCCCTTCACCCAAATTAATTTGTGATGAGATCTGCTTCCATAAAAATTGACAGCCTTGGAAACCCTGTGGGGCAGTTCTACTCTGTCCTCTAGGGGCACTGTGAGTCAGAATAGACTCACTTACAGTGGGTTTGGTTTGGGCTTTGCTTCTGTAAAGATTGACAGCCTTGGAAACCCTCTGGGGCAGTTCTACTCAGTCCTAAAGCATAACTATGAGTTGGAATCGACTCTATGGCAGCGGTCGTGGTACACTCTAGTTAGTGGTATTCCTTCTCTTCCCCTCCCACCCCTAGTAACCTTCAAAGAATGTTTCTTTCTGTGAGTAACCCTTTTCTTAACTTGTACAATATTTATCCTTTGCTGATGGGCTGATTTGACTAGTGTCCTCCAGGTTCATCTATGTTATGAAATGTTTCCCAAATCCATGGCTACACTTTTGTTCTTTGAAAGAAACTCTGTCAACATTAAAAACTTTTCTCCTTTGAAAGAAACTGTTAAAAGAATGAAAAGAAAAGCCACACACTGGGAGGGGGAGAAGGCAAAGAAAGATGAGAGGAGCAAAGCAGAGAGAGAGAGAGGGAGGGGAGAGAAAGGGGGAGAGAGAAATAGAGAGGTGTGAGAGAGATGAGAACAAGCCTTAGGCCCCTGCCTGGCATCCATCAAAGCCCACTGCTAGTTCCTCACGATACCAGCGGCTCACCAGGGTCTCCAACTCACTGTGCCTTGAAACACACTAAGCCACTCCAACAATGCTGATGACTATGTGCTCCAGGGCGGGCTATTACTAAAATTACATCTGCTCATAAAACCATCTACCCTCAGCCCTGTGAAACTTGCTACTGTATTTTGGGGGAGTTCAGTGAGGACTGGGCTCTAAGTTTACTTTCTTAGCAAGACTCTGGCCGTGCTAACTACTGCTCACTGGCCCCGCCTAACACTACCAAGCCCATTATCCTGATTGGTTACTTTTTCTTTCTTTCTTCCTCCCTTCTTCCTTTCTTTTCTCTCTCTTTTTCTTCTTTTCATAACACTTGACTTTTTTTTTTTTTTTTTCAATTTCAATTCATTATTTTAGGTGTATAATATTCAGTGAGATTAATTACCCACCAGCCATTCCTCGGAAGGAAGGTTGGGCAATCTACTTTCTTAGTGATATTGCCTCGGAAACCCAAGAAGGGTTCGCTATGAGTCGGGTCCCACTCGATGGCACATAACAACAATTATATTCACTATGCTGCACAATCATCACCACTATCCATTTCTCAATATTTCATCACCATTAACAGAAACTCAGTTCTCCTTAAGTAATGGCTCCCCTCCCAGCTTCCTCCCACCACTGAGAGACTTTGGTCTCCATACACACGCCCTAGACAACTTCACATACATGTTGTTGTTAGCTGCCATTGAATCAGCTCCAAGTCACAGTGATCCATGTACAACAGAACAAAACTCTACCTTGTCCTGCACCATCCTCACAATCATTGTTATGTTTGAGCTCATTGGTTGCAGCTATTGTGTCAGTCCATCTCGTTGAAGGTCTTCCTGTTTTTTGCTGAGCCAGAGTTTTACCAAGAATGACGTCCTTCTCCAGGGACTGGTTCCTCCTGATAACATGTCCAAAGTATGTGAGATGAAGTCTCACCATCATCACTTCTAAGGAATTCTGACTGTATTTCTTCCAAGACAGATTTTTCATTCTTCTGGCAGTCCGTGATGTATTCAAAATTCTTCATGAACATCATAATTCAAAGTCATCAATTCTTCTTCAGTCTTCCTTATTCATTGTTCAGCTTTTGCATGCATATGAAGTGACTGAAAACATCATGGTTTGGGTCAAGCACACCTTATTCCTCAAATTGATATCTTTGCTTTTTAATACTTTAAGAAAGACTTTTGCAGCAGATTTGCTTTTGATCTCTTGACTGCTGCTTCCATGGGCATTGATTGTAGATCCAAGTAAAATGAAATTCTTGAGACTTCAATCTTTTCTCCATGTATCATGATGTTGCTTATTGGTCCAGTTGTGAGGATTTTTGTTTTCTTTATGTTGAAGTGTAACCCATAATGAAGGTTGTAGTCTTTGATCTTTGTCAGTAAGTGCTCCAAGTTCTCTTCACTGTCAGCAAGCAAGGTTGGGTCGTCTGCATATCACAGGTTGTTACTGAATCTTCCCCCAATCCTGATGCCAGGTTCTTCTTCATATAGTCCAGCTTCTCATATCATTTGCTCAGCATACAGATTGGAAAAGTACAGTGGAAGGATACAACCCTGATGCACACCTTTCCTGATTTTAACCCACGCAGTATTCCCTTATCCTGTTCAAATGACTGCTTCTTGGTCTATGTACAGTTTTTACATGAGCACAATTAAGTGTTCTGAAATTCCTATTCTGTGAAATGTTATCCATAACTTGTTAGGATCCACACAGTTGAATGTCTTTGCATAGTCAATAAAGCACATAGAAGTGGGATCATACGATATTTGTTCTTTTATGTCAGAGCTATTTCACTCAGCATAATGTTTTCAAGGTTCAACCAGGTGGTAATATGTATCAAAATTTCATTCATTTTAATGGATGAATATTATTCCATTTAATGTATACACATCATTTAGACATTTGGGTTATATCTACCTTTTGAGTATTGTGAATAGTACTGTAATAAACAGTTGTGTATTGATTTCTACTTACATTCCTGCTTTCAAGGTTTTAGGGTGTATATCTAGGAATGGAATGGCTGAGTCGTATGTTAATTCCAAGGAGCCTTGGTAGTCCAGTGGTTAAGCACTGAGCTGCTAACTGAAGAGTCTGTGATTCTGACCCACCAGTGATCTGCTGCCATAAAGATTTCAGCCTGGCAAATCATGTGGAGAAGTTTTACTTTCTCCTATAGGGTTAGAATTGACTGGATGGCGCATAACAACAAGATCGTATTTCCATATTTAACTTTTCAAGGAGTCTCCAAACTGTTTACCACAACAAGTATACCATTTTACAATCCTACCAACAACGGACCAGTGTTCCAATTTCTCCACATCCTCGCCCACACTTGTTGTTCTCCACTTTTCTGATCATAGCCATTCTAGTGAGAGGCGAAGTGTTATCTCATTGTGATTTTGACTCACATTTCTTTAAGTGCAAATGACATTCACTATCTTCTCATCTACTTATATCTCATTTGTATACCTTTTTTGGTGAAACGGCTATTCAAAGAACTTGATCCTTTAATAAGCTTGTTATTTCCGTCTCCCCAAAAGATTTGTTCAAGTCCAAACCTCTGGTTCTCATGAATGTGACCCTTTTGGAAGTACGGCCTTTGAAGATGTTCTCAGTTAGATTGACATGAGGTCATACTGGAGTAGGGTGGGTCCTAATCCCATCTGAGTTGTGTCTTATAAAAGAAAGGGAGAGCCACAGAGAGAGAGAGACAGACTCAGAGGGAAGGCGGCCATGCGAAGGCGGAGCCAGAGATTGGAGTGGTGCATCTGCAGGCCAAGGAACTCCAGGGATCCCCAGGAATCCCCAGAAGCCAGAGAGGCAAGGAAAGGTTTTCCTCCGAGCCCCTCCAGAGGCAGCACGGCCATGAGGACACCTCAACTTTGGGCTTCTGGCCTCCAGAACTGTGGGACAATGCATTGCTGCTGTTTGAAGCTGCCCGGTTTGTGGTCCTTTGTGACGGCAGCCCTGAGAACCAAATATGGTGCTTTGTGAGGGCTCTCACCCTTGACACCTTCGACAATTGGGCTAAATCTGCACTGTGAGGGGGCATTCTGGGTACTGTAGGGTGGTTGACAGCTCCCTGACCTCTGCCCACTAAATGCCAGTTATGTCCTCCCTTACTCTCCAACTGTGACAACCAAACAACAAATATGTCTCTAGACATTGTCCAATGTCCCCTGGGGGTAATGTCATCATCCCTCATTGAGACTCCACTACGCTTCACAATTTACCTTTTTCTTTTTGTGTTTATAGAAGTTTTTTTTTTTTAATTGTTGTAAAATATGTTTACATAACACAACAGCTGTCCATTTAACCTATCTCAGGTCTACAATTTAGTGACACCAAGTACATTAATCATGCTGCATAACCATCACCGATTTCCATTGCCCAATTTTCCATCACTGTAAGCAGAATTTCAATGCTTCCTAAACAACGGCTCCGCTCCTCTCCCAATTACTTTTTTATTATGTTCATTGTTTAATGTCTGTCTTCTCCCAACCCCCACTAGCATGTCAGCTCCCAGAAGTAAAAATTTTCTCCCTTTGTTCACTGATGGGCAGAGATCAGTGCCTGGCACATAGTAAGTGTTCAATAAATGTTTGTTGAAAAAATAAATGAACATTTAGTATTGTTTACATGCTTGGAATGGTGTGACATGCATAACCCCATATCCTGATCACAACTTCTCTTTGAATGAGACCCTGTCACTGTACCCCTTTTCACAGAGTTGGAGAAGCTACATGCCTAGTATCCCCCTCCACACCCTGCCCACTGACAGAGCCCAACAATTTAGCTGGCCACCACCCCAACAAATACCTGTTTCCTCCCTTGGGGCCAAGAGGGGTGGGATTCAGTCAGAGTGAGACCCTGCCTCTGGTGGGCACCTGTGGGAGGAGCGGTGTTGAGAAGAAGGAAAGCTGAGCTGGCCCTGGGGGCCTGGCCTAGGAGACTTTCTCAGAACCAGTAGGGGCCGGAACAGGGCTGGGCACCACATGTCCACACGCAGAGGAAACCCAGCTCAGAGACAGGGACCAAGGTCCAATGTGAATTTCCTAGCCCCAGCCTGGGGGGTGTGGCCACAGCTACCCAACCAGAAAGGCTATAACTGCCCCCCTAAACCCAGCCTAAACAGCAAGGGCCTAGCCCTGCAAGTGGTCACGGGTCCCTGGTATCAGTAATTGAGGTCAAGGAGATGGGAAGGAAGGAAGGGAGAGTGGGTGGAGCGAGGTGGGGGTGGGGACAAACTTATAGCTATGCCTAAGGCTGGGTGTCCACACTGCCATGGACACCTCTGAGTACAGCAATTGGAGCAGCAGGCCCACAAAGGGCCCCACAGGTATAGGTGATTGGGCTTCTTCTCTGGCCCTTGGTTAGGTCCCTGTCTAACCCCCAGTGGTCTGGGGTTTGATGGCGGGTGGGCAGGAAATGGCAAGAGGAGTCCAGGTAGTAGGTGCAGGAGAGCCACCACAGGCCACAGAGCCTGGTGGACCTGGGTTCATACCCCAACTCTGCCACTTAGGGGCTGAGTGACAGTGGGTAAGTTATTGAACTTCTCTGAACTTGAGTTTCCTGGGAGGGACCCAAGTGTCCTGAGCTCAGGCCAGGGGGATCCAGGAATTCAGGATGGTCCTGGTGCCAGGAGACCCAGAAGTTGACTTGTGTTTCCAGGGTATGGGGGACGCTGGGATTGCTGGGGGATGAAATCCCTCTTGGTGGCATCGGTTACTGTGGTTGCTGCTGTCCTTTGGGGCCTAGTTCTGAGCATCCTATTGTCCAAAGGTAAGTGCCTGCAGGATTGGGAGAGGCTCTGACAGGCCCTCCTGGGGACACAGACTTTCCGTCATCCCTAGCCTACCAACTTGGTCCCAGACCCCGGCCTGGGAATGAGTGTGGCTACGTGTGAGTTCGAGTACAGCTTCATGCTGTGTGCGCACATTTGTGTGCATGCATGTATATGTTCCCTGTGTGTTTGTTTTTCTTCTCTGGGCGGCGTCCCAAGACCTGGATACTCTCACCTTTGGGCGTGGGGAGGGCTCTTGAGTCCCCCGGCCGCGCCTGCAGCAGCTTCTCTCTGCAGCCTCCACCGAGCGCGGGATGCTGTTAGACCACCAGGACCTCCTAAGGACAAATGGTGAGTGCAGAAGGACGGCGCCGGGGTCGGGGTAGGGGGACCCCAGGGTCCGGGAATCTGAACCTGGGATGGGGAAGGTTGATCCATGAGACCCTGTGGAACTCCGGCGTGTGTGTGTGTGTGTGTGTGTGTGTGTGTTCCAGCCTCGAGGCAGGCGGAGGAGCTGGGCGTTCTGCAGAAAGACGT